AAGGGGGGAGAAAATGAAAGTGTCTCACCCGCCCGGGAGGGGCGTCAGCGCCCGCCGGGCCGCCACTTGAAATGCACACACCCATGCCGGGAAAATCCCGGCGCACCATTGGCACTTGCCACGGTCGGTTACGAACACACCGGCCGGAGGGTTCACGCCAGCCGGCACGCCCATTCGCCCGATCGCCGCGGGCGGCTTTTGGCCCGGCTGGCGCCGGGCTGGCCTCTCTTTGGGGATGGTCCCTTCCGCCGGCGCATGCCGGCCCCATGGCACACTCCCTTTCTTTCACCCTCGCCCTCCCCCCCCCTCCACCCCCACCCCCCCCCCCCACACCCCCCTTCCGCCACCCCCAACCCACCACCCCGCCCCCCGCTTCTCCCTCCCCACCTCCTCGCCCTCCCCCCCCCCCCCCCCCCCCCCCCTCGCCCTCCCCCCCCCCCCCCCCTCGCCCTCCCCCCCCCCCCCCCCCCCCCCCCCCCCCCCCCCCCCCACAGTCCTCCGCGCCGCCCTCCCTCCCCTCCCCCGCCAATTCTCTTTGTTGCCCCCCGGCCTCATCCGCCGGGCTTCAGCCTACACCAGCACCATGGACGAACTGCACCACTGGGCCGAGGCCATGGTAGCCCGACGCGAGTTGTTCGGCATCCTGGACCCGGTCATTCCGCTTCCAGTTGACCAAAACCGAGGCCACAGCATTGTCCCTTCTCTGTCACCACGATCATCACCGCCACCCTCACCGCCACCCTCGCCGCCACCGGCCGCGCGAGCGCCAAAGAAATAAACCACCCGGCCAAGGGCCTCGCCGTGCTTTCGCTTCTTTCCATTCCCTCCCCCGCATGATGGCGGGCTCGGCGGAGCCCCAACGTCGGTGTCTTGCGTGTCTCAGGGGGTGGCTCCGCTGCTCGCCCGAAGGAGGGCCTGCCTCCGGCGGGACCACAGGAGTCGGAGCATCAGCGCGCCAGACAGGACGGCCAGCATCGCATTCAGAGCCAGCGCTCGGTTTGACGGATCGATCGTAGGCAGAAGCCGCGCGATGGCACCACGCATTGCCGCCCGGGACTCGGGGCCGAGAAGTCGGCCGCCGTTGGCGGCCGCTGCCGCCACCGCTGCCAGCAAGCCCTGGCGAAGACCGAACAGCAAATGCCGCAACCGGCCAAGGCCCGACAGTCCAACAGCCGACGGAGGGACCTTGGAGGCCGGCGTCGTGTCGGACCCCGCCGGGGGAGCCGGCTCCGAAGCAAGATCAGACTCGGGCCCTGGCAGGCCGGGTGAGGGATCTGCAGGGGCTGGCAATGGGCCATGCCGGGGTGGCGGATTCAGGGCCGCCCGGCCAGCAGCCAAAGCCGCCAACCAGGGGGACGTCGGGTCGGAAACGCCCTGGAGCACCAGCTCAGCCTGCGCCAATACCGCGGGGTCTGGGCTGCCGGCGGTCATCAGCGACAAAAACATGCCAAGCGCCGGCCCGGCCACCGACTCGCACTCGAGCAGCCAGTAACGGGCAGCCGGGCTGGTCGCGGCCACCAGGAAGGCTGGGCCCAAGAAAAGACCCCACAGCCGGGGCGCCGGGTTGGGCTCATCACTCGGTGGACAGGACACCTCGAAGAGCCGGGCCGCATGTGCCAGCAGACCGACCGCCAGCAGCAGGTCGACCGGCACACACTCCGAGCCGTTGGAGTCCAGCGCCTCGGCTTGCGTCCGGAGCATGTCCCCAGCCACCAGGGCCAGACAGGTGCACCCGTCCAAAGCCGACTCCGGGAAGCCCTGCAGCGCACGCTGCAGGGCCGCCAGCACCAGCGCGCGCCGTCCAAGACCGGAGGCCACTTGCGCGTCGTCAGCGAGCACCGCGCGCAGGAAGTCCGCGGCGCGGGCAAACTGGCCCTCCCCAAGGTGGCCGGGGGCCGCGGGAGTCTGACCCTCGGGCTTCGGCTCCTGAGCCTGGCCCAGCCAATTGGCGAAGGCGCACAGCAGGGCCGGCGGCGAGCTGAGTGCCACCAGCCAGCCGGTGGTGTCCGGGCCTTCGGCCAGCACACCGGGCCCCGGGGTGTCTGACCCGGCGAAGGCGCCCGTCAGGGCAGCCTGCCAGAGGGCGAGGGCCTCGACGATTGAGGCGTGCGCAGGGGACCCGAGCTCGACAAATGCCGGCAGGGAGGCCCGCTTGAGGGAGGGAACCACATGCTCAAGCCAGAGGCGCCAGGCTTCGGGTCGGTCCCCAGAGCCAACTGCCCGGGCAAACGAGTGGGCCAGAGGTTGCATGGAGTGGGGCGTATTTCCGGGCGGAGGGAAATCCACTGGGAGAAGGGGAAATGTCAATGAAAGGGACAAATGGCGTGGGAGGAAAGCAGGATGGGGCGGGGGGGGGGGGGGGGGCATGTTGCAGGCGGTGTAGACCAGGGGCCAATGCTAGGCGGCTGAGCTGTTGACGCAAGCACCCCGGCGCGGAGAGAAGAGGGGCCCCACGCCTCCAGGCAACATGCGGCAATCGGCAGCCAGTGTGACCGGGTGCCATGGGTGTGTGTGTGGGGAGGGGGCGCGCCCGCCAGACGGGGAAGGGCGCGCCCGCCAGACGGGGAAGGGCGCGCCCGCCCGCACCGAGGAAGCCCGGTCTCAAGCTACGCTGCGGACCGCACACAGGGCATGTTGCCGGGGAGGACGGCTGGCCCCCCGCTGACCCTTCACGGCTGGGGATAATGTTGGAAGTGAGTATCAACGGCCGTCCATCGGTGAGGAGGCCGCCTTCGATACTTCCGTCGGGGGGAAAAGGCGAGCGCATGGGAGG